AAAAATGAATACTTCTTCTACTCGAAACATAAATGTATCTATTTTAAAATATTTAATATCAGTGTTTTATACATGTTACTAGAATAAAAAACGATGATCTTCTCACCAAAAAAATACAAACTTTTCCTGGTGATTGTAATGTAAATCAAAGATCAAAAGATTCATAGAGAAATAACACTATTCTTCTCTCTCTCATTATTGTTCAATATTTATAAAATAAATCGATACATTTAGAAGAAATAAATATATGCTCAATATCATGTCAAAGTTTGTATTACAGTCTGTTGTCAAATGAGAAAATATTCCGCATACTGTCCAAAATCTTTTATATTCCTTTTTGTATAATAAATTGAATGAGATCAATAAATGAGAATCACACGTATTTGTTATGTTAATAAAAAAATTATTCATTAATGATATAGTGTTAGTACTCATAGTCGTTTTTCGTCGACTTACCATTAAACACATTGAACATTATCGTGCAAAAAGCCTAGAATATAAGGAAGTAATCGACTTATTTTCTGTAAACTTAAATTAATTGAACATGATATTGATAAATACCCACAATGAAAACGAAAATGAATATAAACACATGTGATTTCTACCACAAGGATGCAAAGTAAATATTATCTTAGACGAACAGTAACTTAATCAAATACTGTACAATTTGATATTGATATTTCAAGAAATTTATTATTATTTTCAATAAAAAATAAATTAAAATTAAAATTAAAGTATAATGAGAAGGATACTGACTTATTTAAAATATAAAGTCTGGTTACCCCAGTCAGTCATAGTCATTGCGAAAACTGCAAGATTCCAAAATTTATGAACAATTTTACGCGTTTAGCGAATTTGTGGTACAAACAGTCAAGAAGCTGCGAGTGTAGGGAAAATAACATACAGGAAGCGTACGTTGCCAGGCTTTGCTCGCGTGTTCATGCGCGTTATTTTCCCTACACTCGCAGCTTTTTGACTGTTTGTACCACAAATTCGCTAAACGCGTAAAATGTTTCATACATTTTGGAATCCTGCAGTTTTCACAATGACTATGACTGACTGGGTAGTGTTATAGTTACTTGATAAGATGTTCATAAAATAAATTTGATCTTTCGACACTTTATTCAGCTGGATAGCAAACAAATCATCCATCTATCGGCTATTGCAAAGACTTATTTATTTGGAGACAAAATTATTAGTCATTTTTTGATGAATGACATCATTTGTGAAATTGAGTCATATTCGATTATTTGTTCATGTATTCGTTTGCATTGCCATTGATATTAATGTTGACTTAAATTTATATTGAAAGATCGATAACTCCTAAAATATTGTTTAATGCTTATAACATAGAAAGTTTGTTTAGTTTAATTTCATTCTTACGCGTAGCAATAACGATCGGTTTTTTTTTTGTACCAAATAATGCGTACTCATGTTATCAATAATCTTTAAATGATCGTACAGACTTTTCTTGATGTCAAAAATGTTAAATATACTGGAATATCATCACCAATCAGATCAATACAATGAAATAGTGGATGATTACAAAAGAAAAAGGAGAAATCAAATGATACGTTGAACATTATAGTCAAACTGACAATTAGTATTAGATTTTGTTGTGTTTTTTGTTGAACCTGAAACGAAAATAAAAATTGTGAATATAAACATTGACTGAACAAATACATCGGGATATATATGTATCTGACATTTACAAGTCAACTCTAAAAACGTATTTGACTTTGATAATTGTCAGAATAAGAGTCAGTCATTTATCATTTCAAAAATAAAATATTTTTTATTCTCTATGTGTATACAGAAACGACGAAAGTATCCGATAAAAAGATTAATTTATACCAATACAAATAAAATATGAAATGAAGCAAAAAATCAAGTCTAAAACAGTCGACAAGAGAAAAAAAAAAGAAGCAAAAAAATAATAAAAACAGATCTGTAGTACACAACAGTACGACTACCTATCGTGTTCGAAATCAAGATAGTAAGTGTATGTATTTAGTGGAGACAAATAAAAATGAAATAACAATAACTTACAGAAATACCAATCAAAACAAATTTTTCTATGTACCAGAGGACATAAATTCTCACATTTTCTCAAAATCGAATTTAAATATAAACATTCTATATGATGGACATTCAACATTCAATGTTCACAGCAAAATAAAAAGAAATACACCGGATTACGAACAAAATTATTGCTTTCTCATTAACTCTATAACAGATGTGATGTACTGTACAATTAATGACAAACAATAGCGTACAAGATACGATTCAAACGCCATTCTTCAAACTAAAAATGTCGTATCTTAACACAAAAATTGTATCAAAAAAAGAATGTTCATTAAACTAAACGAATTGTTACATTTTTATGATACATGTTCAAAATGGATCGATCTATCATTGATACCCAGAAGAAATACAACTTTTTCATTTTATACGTAATCAAATAAAAGATTGTCTAACAGAATAAACAAATAAACTTGATAGTAAAATACAATCGTAAACTATATGACTTTAAAAACATAAAGACAATCGTATATTTATCCTCTTTTTTTTAATTTTTAATTGTCCATCATATAACTGGTGTATACTAATTCTATGTTTGACATTTGTACCTGATCGTCTTATAAGTAAATCATTTCTACCAATAGTGAGAATAACACCAACAATAATTTCGTCTAATTGATCATCATTAAATAAGATTACAATTGGATTACCACGAGAAAACCATTGACAATTATACCATAGACGACCATCTTCAATTTTTATATCTGGGACATTTGAAGAATTTGATATACTAAGATAGAAAAAATAAAAATTATGATAAAATGTTAGAATTAGGCTTTGTAACAATTAACAAAAAATTATGTAAAAAGAATAATCCATGGCGCAAAAGTCTTGGCACACAAAATGTTCGTTCATTTTCAAAATAGTTATTAGCCACTGTTGAGAGCCAAAACCAGTCAGTTAAAATTAGAATTTTGTGCTCTTTCCGAATATATGTTCAGATTTTTTTTTCTAGTTTAATGTTGATTAACTGCGAGCAAATGTTTGAAAGAGCCAATAATGAAGTCTGTACAGAGAAAAATCGAAGTTTTTTGCATAATCTGTAGCTTGTGCAGGTTGTATTTCGAGACAGTTTGAAATCGATATTATTGTAGAGCATTCAATTCTCTACAAAATGAAGTATTACAGTGGCTTACAACTCAAGAGAATCAAAAGTTATAGAAGTTTGTCTGACAGTTACTTTCTACACACAACGGCATTCTGAGAAAAAATCGATTTTTCAAAACCTGCATTTTAAAATCAATAAATTTGAAACATTTTAGAGCAAAAGAAAAGTAGATAGAGCAATTTTGTACAGTAAAGTTTGCTCTACAAAACTGCTGTATTAAAGGATGTTCCATGTTTTGAGTTAAGTAAATTTTAATGAAAATACAAAAATATTCTGTAGAGACTCCATGTTTGGCTCTTTCAAATATTTGCTCACAGTTGATCAACATTGAACTAGAAAAATAATCTGAATATATATTGGCAGAGCACAAAATTTTAATTCTAACTGATTGGTTTTGACTCTCAACAGTTGCTAATAACTGTTCTGAAAATGAACGAACATTTTGTGTGCCAAGACTTTTACGCCACGGTTAATTAGATAAAATTCAAAAAGTATTTTCAATTAAAGTAAAAAACCTATGGTGTGTTTACTTGGGAGTTGATAGACGTGCAGTTTGTTTTTGTAATGAATGTTCTGCAGTTGTAGATGTACGAGAAGAACATCGTGTTTTTAGTAATGGTCGAACTTTTTTAATATCACAATCTATATCATTCAAACCTAATGTTGTGCAAAATTTATCACCATACTTTTGTTCGATGGATAGAACTTTTGTTGATAGTAATGGTAGTAAATTTCCTCTTGTTGTTATTAATGTCAGTGATGGTGGACGATCAGAATCGGCTGATATAGGCATCTGAGATACGATCGATCCTTCATTTGGTGATGAGGTGGATGGTGCGATCTGTAGTTGTTGTTGTTGTTCAGGTTGTTGCTGACGACGTAAATTATATGAAATTCGTTGCTGACATTCTCCAAGTAGACTATTAGTGCCATTCTGATCATTGATATCATATTCAAATAGATTATCATCACGAATGTCAAGATGTAAATTTTCATATTCAATGAGACGACGTCGATCACTAAACGATGATAATAGTTTGGATTTTACTTCGAGTCTTTTTTCATCATAATTTGAATGAGTTTGACGAAGTTCTGAGGAACATGTAGAATCGATCATTTGACGACGAATATCACGCCAGTATTGAAGATTATCAACCTAAAATAAAATATATTTTACTGAGCAACTTATGATCTCGACAGCAGTCGGATAGTATATGATTTTTAACTTAAAGAAATCTAATTTTTTCGTGTGGTCAAATAAATATCAGGTGCGATATAAGACTCAAATTTCTGGCTGACGAGGGAACCTTCCCAAGTGTTCAATCGCTTTTTCCTTAAAACATCCACCATTGTGGATAATCTTTGATGCTGATCACGAATCTGATATCCGTTTCGACCTTTTTGGGATGGGTCTCTGGAATTCCGATGTGCAAAGAGCCACTATGAACTTCCAGCTAAATATATTTTGGCACTACCAGATTATACAGCGCGTTGAATTACCTATGTGAGAAAATGTTTTTTTCGCAGAGATAGGAAGTTTTTACTTTCTAATCCAGTAGGGAACGAAAATATTTCAGCTTTTGAACCCTAAAATTTTTCTATCTCCGAGAAAACTTCTTCGTTGGTTCTGAACATTTTCCCACATAGGTAATTCAACGCGCTCTACAATCCGGGAGCACGAAAATATGTTTAGCTGGAAGTTCATAGTAGATCTTTGGACATCCAAATTCCAGAGATCCACTGCAGAAAGGTCTAGCGGCTGAAAAGGATATCAGATGCGTGATCAACATCAAAGATTATCCAAAATCGTGTGTTTTAAAGAAAAAGTGATTGAACAGTTGGGAAGGTTCCCACGTGGGAAATATCTATTCTCGATGTACCTGCATTTCATGTGTTCGTAACAATTTTGCCAAACGTTTAGTATATTTTATATGTTTTTCATTTTGTAATAGAATTAATTCTTGATGTAGATGATTTAAACGTTTTTCAATCATTTTTACCGTCAATACGGGTGTAAGTTGATGATTTGATTTAAAAAAAGAAGTGAGTGTTTTCTTTGCATTTCGATTTGTTGTAATTGTTAGTGGACGTGAAGGCGGTGAGGGAATAACATCAGAAGAAGAAAACATAGATTCTGATTGAGAAATATCAACGGCCATACATCAAAATAAAATAAAAAAACGAAAAAATATCTAAAAGAACATACAAACATTATTAATCAAACACAACATTTATGTACAAGATAGTAAATATATGTCAGCATTTATTAAATAAATCCATCGCAAAAAAAAGGAAAATATTTCAGAGTATGTACAAACAGTAATTGTATGATTAAAAATTTAACATATGAACAATTAATTTCAAAAAGAATACTGGTCAATACATAAATGAATAATATCGTACTATTACTACCATATCTATTACAAAAAAAAACAAAAAAAGAATGAAATATTTCAAAATATTCTTTGCCATAATGTAAAATAGTTTCATCCTTCTTATATAACTACTTTTTTTAAATATAAACAGTTGAAATACAAAACAATTTTGTATACATAGTGATTTTTGTTTTAAAAAAGTTCATTTATATAAAAGAGAAGAAAAATCAACATTCAAATGGATAAAGGTTTTTGAAAACCTCTTACAATTCATTTAATTACTAGAAAAAAAATATATATCGCTGAAAAAATCTTTAGTGGCTATTAGAATTCTGCACCATTCTATGGTTATAAATAGCAAAGAATTTGTTGACGAATAAAAATCCAAAAAAAAATTTATCGTGTTTGACACATATTGAAAAGATTGGTCAGATCTAACGATATGAAATCAGCTATACTCTACGGCGCAAGACAAAAAAAATCAGGTCCAATTTGTGTGAATAAGAAAAATAGGAAAAACTAAAAACAACTCACATGTATAAATCTGCAGCAGAGCGTAACATACAGAAACAATTCTTGTACAGATAACAGACAGAACCGAACAAATTTCATTTTTACAGAAAATTGTAAAAGTAAACTTTGACGTTCTATCATATATCATGTACAAGGACTGAGGTTATGCAATTACTTAACGGTCACTATCACTTTTAACGAGTAGTATACAACCGACCTCTATTTTTACTTCTTTTCGTTCATAATACTGCCTATGGTAAAATAACTTTCAGTTAAATTTCGGGCTATGACTAATAATTTTCACATGTAAGAATCTGTAGCCAAACGTAACATTTTACTTTTACAATTTTTCGCAAAAGTGAAATTTGTTCGATTCTGTCGGTTATCTATACAAGGATTGTCTTTGTATGTTACGTTCTACTGTAGATTCACACATGTGAAAATTTATTCATCATCGTCCAAAAATTAACAAAAAATAACTCGATATTAACTAAAATTTAGCTTTAATTGATTTTAAATCATCATCACAATCTTGATCTTTAATAGTCCATTTTGGTAATGAAAATAGATTAAATGCGCCGACAAGTTTTTTTCTCGGAACTGTTCCCAGTAATGATAACGACGTATTTGTAGTCGAAGTTGTTGGTAATGTCATTAATTCTAGTGTAATGGATGAATCTTGCGTTAAAGGTGGTGAATGACCACTTCCTGTATCTTGTTGATCAGTTGTCAACGGAAATAAAAATGGAATGGAAGATAAAGTAGAAGATTGTGTTTGTCGTTGTCTAAAATGGCAACAAACAATTTGATATTTAAATGTTACAATATATTAGCGCAAGAAATAGAAAGAATCAAAATATTCAATTAACATTATTACTTTGTGTTATTTTACCTGAAATTGTATGCTTTTGTATTTATACTATTTCCTTCAATAATTGGACGTGTTTTATAATCAAAATTTTTTGAATGTATATCGATGGAATGTTTATCTTGTTCTAATAATTTTCGTTTACGTTTAAAACGATCTAACAATAATTCTTTTACTTCATATTTTTTAATTAAATATGCTTGTTGAGACTGTTTAATTTCATTATCATAACGTTTATTAATTCGTTCATTTTCAATTTTATAATGTGCATTTCGTCTAAAATAAAAAGAGAAGAAGAAACTAGTTTTGAGTATATTTCCATTCATTGAACGATTATGTAGACAAGATCTCATTCATTTTTTGGTGATAAAATATCGTTTAAATTAATGCTCCTTTATGATAGAATTCAAAATACTACTTCTATGATAACTGTTCATTTCTATTACAAAATATTGTAACATACTCGTAAAATATCAAATATTATGCTTACCTTAAACAGTCAAGTTGATATTTATTGAATAATGTTTGTAATTTTTCTTCATAATCATGATTGTGAACGACTTTTGTTGATGGCAATCGTTGTTGTTGTTGAAATTCATACAATTGTGCGTAGAGAAATTTTAAATGTTGATCAAATGCCGATTCTAATTTTTGACGACGTAAACGTTGTTGGCGAGTTTGAATACGAGTATTACTAGTACGATTAGTGGAATTATCTATCGTGTAAAATGGTTGGCAGTATGTGACAGTAGTTGGAGTAGTCGATGTAGATGTTGATGGTGAAGAACAACAATTAGTAGAGAGAAGAATTGTCGAAGGATCAATTGATTTATGTTTAATCATCTGAAAATACAGTTTTCTTTCGATAAATAGTTTAGAAGTATAAACTTACTATTTTTTGTAAAGATTAAGATTAAGACTGTTTTTATTCACGAAAAGTGAGAGAGTCATCAAAGGTCACTGATCTGTAATAAATGACTCAAACTAAACAACACAAAAAGAGTAATAAAAAAGAATAAAATAAGTAAGACAACTAAGGTTAGAACTAGAAGTAGTAAAAAAAGAACAAATTTTTGAAAAAAATAAAAAGAAGTTAAGCAAAAAAGAACAAATATAAATTCTTAACTGGCAAATGTTTCACTGGAAGAGATACTGACATAAAGCTGTTTTGAAAGACGTTAAAGAAGAAAGACAAATAACTGACTCTGGGAGATTATTCCAGTCAGCAATAGTTGAATAATAAAAAGAAGAATGCACCGTTTGCAGAGAGTAACCATCAACAGAAGATGGAATGCGAACATATTTAGAATGATGAAGACGTAAAGATGAGTAGTGAGGATGATGAATAGTATAAAATAGAGAAACAGGACTTAGACGACGATAAATTTTGAAAAACTGTAGAAGTCTAAAGTATTTAAGACGAAGAGTGAGATTTTGAAGAGAAAGTTGAGATACAAATAGAGAACTAGAAGAACGATAGTCAAAATTGCGAGAAATAACATAAGCAAGTTTGTTTACAGAATCAAGAACAGTAAGAGAAAACGAACTGTCATACAAGATACACTTCAGGAAGAATAGAAGAAAGATAGATTCGACGCCGAACTTCAGTTGGAACTAATCCAAAGACGCGATTCAATGTTCCAAGCTTGCACCGACAAGCAAGAACAATGTCCTTGGCATGATCATTCCACCTAAGATCGTACGAAACAAGAACGCCAAAACAACGCACAGAAGACACAACAGAGAGAAGAACACCATTGAGATACAATTGATTATTAACTCTTGACTCTAGATGTTCACAAACTTTTGTAGGTTAAGAAAAAATGGCCTGTATCTATTTCTACTCTAGATAGTAGAAAAATCTCATCTGTTCTCATAGGCTTGATTTGTTTTTCTTAAATTAACCCTTTGGTTACGGTTTTTCTACTTGAAAAGGCCATTTTTTCTTAATTTATAACGAACGCTAGAAATACATCAGCGGCACGGTAAAAGGATGCCAGCAGCACATAAAAAGCGGTACTTCTGTAGAAGAACCTAAAAAGCATACTTTCGGTACACTTTTTCCATGTCATTGCCACAATTTAAGTGTGTTTTTTCAAAAGTCATTTTCGTTTTCCGCTAAAGAGTGCGCACTGCCCCGGAAAAGAACGGTAAAAGTATGCTGATGGCATGGAACAAATGTGCCGATTGGACGGTAAAAAACTAACCGGCATGCTTCAA